ACCGGTATACTACTAGCATTTGTTGCCTCATTCATAATTTTGACCAAAGTAGCCCAGTGTGGGGTTAAATTAGGTCACTACTTCCAAAAAAGGATTAAAATAAATATTTAATCAATAACATAATCGTCTTTTAAATATATCTTTATTGTGTTCTTGTTGCCCTTGGTTTGACCTATTTACATTATCAAAGTGGTAAAGGATTTTGTTATAAACAAAATATTTTTTCAATAAAAAGTGTGTTCACAGTTAATATTGGAGTTCACGGTCATGTTATGATTTGCAAATGTATCATTTTCCATTAGTCAGGTCCACATATTCTTAATCAACGTACAGCGAGCATCTGAAACCCCTGATATGCTAAGGCTGTCTATGAAGATACAGTGATTAAATCCCAGGAGCTTTAACTTTAAATCCATAAAATCCATTTAGTTGGGCATAGTATAGGCCCCCATGAAAGCACTGCCCCCCAAAGATCCACAATCTGATGAATGAGGAGAAGTCTCATACATGCTTCAGCATCTCGACATTCTTTAGCATCTATGAATCTAAATTCTTAAGCATCTATGAATCTTTACATTCTTCAGGATTTATGAATCTCTAATTTCATCAGCATCTATGAATCTCTACTTTCTTTAGCATCCACGAATCTCTACATTCTTCAGCATTTATGAATCTCTGCATTCTTTAAAATCCACGAATCTCTGCATTCTTTAGCATTCATGAATCTCTACAATCTTTAGTATCTATGAATCTATAAATTCATTAGCATCTATGAATCTCTACATTCTTCAGCATTTATGAATCTCTACATTCTTCAGCATTTATGAATCTCGACATTATTTCGCCTTTATGAATCTCTACATTTTTCTGCAGCATTTATGAATCTCTTAAATCTCTACTTTCTTCGGCATCCATGATTATCTAGTTTCTTTACCATCCATTTAAAGAAAAAATGTTAAGAGATGTCTATGTCTATCTAACACTGCCTACGTCCGTCTAACACTGTCTACTTCTGACTAAAACTGCCAACGACAGTCAAAACTGTCTAAATCTGTCTAAACACTGTCTAACTCTGTCTACGTCTGTCTAACACTGTCTATCACTATCTACACACTCTACGACTGTTTAACACAGGCTACAACTGTCTAACACTGTCCACGTTTGTCTAGCACTGTCTACGTCTGCCTAACACTGTCTACAACTGTATAACACTGTCTATGACTGTCAAACACTGCCTACGTCTGTCTAACACTGTCTACGTTTGTTTAAAAACAATCTAACACAGTCAATGTCTGTTTAACACTGTCTACTTCTGTCTAACATTTTCCACGTCTAACAGGGTCTACGTTTGTCTAACACTGTCTGATACTGTCGCCGTCTGTCTAACACTGTCTAAGTCTGCCTGACACTGTCTAAATTTTTTTAACACTGACTGTCTACGTTTGTTTAACATTGTCTACCTCTGTCCAACACTGTCTACGTTTAACACTCTACACCTGTCTAAAACAGCCTATGTCTGTATAACACTGATTACGTCTGTCTACCACAGTCAAACACTTTCTAACTCTGTCTAGCACTGTCTACGCCTGTCTAACACTTTCCACGACTGTCTCAAACTGTTTATGTCTAACACTGTCTACGTCTGTCTAAAACTATCTAACACTTTCAATGTCTGTCTAACACTGTCTACTTCTGTCTAATTTTTCTAAGTTTGTCTTACACTGTCTACGTCTGTCTAACACTGTTTACATCTGACTAAAATTATCTACGACTATCTAACACTGTCTACGTTTGTCAAACACTGTCTAATACTGTCACCGTCTGTCTAACACTGTCTACGTCTGTCTCCCATTGTCTATGTGTCTTTGAACACTATCTACGTCTGTCAAACACTGTCTACGTCTGTCTAACCATGTCCACGACTGTCTCAAACTCTCTACGTCTGTCTAAGTCTGTTTACGTCTGTCTAACACTGTCTATATCTGTCTAACTCTGTCGCCGTCTCTATAGCACTGTCACGTCTGTCTAAGTCTGTCTGTGTTTTTAACCCTGTCTGCGTCTGACTAACACTGTCTACGTCTGTCTAACACTGTCTACGTCTGTTTAAACACCGTCAAACACTGTCTAACTTTGTCTAACATTTTCCACGCTTGTCTAACACTGTCCACGTATGTCTAACCCTGTCTACGACTGTCTCAAACTGTTAACGTCTATTTAAAACTGTCATCGTCTGTCTAACACTGTCTGCGTCTGTCTAACAATTACAACTTCTGTCTAGCACTGACTATGTCCGTCTAACACTGTCTACGTCTGTTTAGCACTGTCTAAAAACTGCCAACGCCTGTCTAACACTGTCTACGTCTGTCTAACACTGTCTACTTCTGTCTAACTTTGTATACGTCTTTCTAACACTGTCTATGTCTGACTGACACTGTGTTCGTCTTTCTATCCTTGTTTACGACTGTTTTTTACACTTTCAACACTGTCTAAGTATGTCTTACACTGTCTAGGTCTGCCTAATACTGTCTGCATCGGTTTAACACTGTCTACGTCTGTCTACGACTGTCTAAATCTGTCTATCACTGTCTACGATTGCCTAACACTGTCTTCGTCTGTCTAACACTGTCGACGTCTGTCGAAAATTGTCTACGTCTGACTAACACATTCTTCGTATGTCTAACCGTGTCCAATACTGTCTACCTGTTCTTTTACACTGTCAACGTTTTTCTAACACTGTCTACTTATGTCTAACATTTTCTATGTCTCTCTGACAGTGTCTACGTCTGTCTAACACTGTCCACTTTTGTCAACACTGTCTAATACTGTCGCCTTCTGTCTAACACAGTCCACGTCTGTCTAAAACTGTCTACGTTTGTCTAACAATCACATCTGTCTAACACTGTATATGTCTGTGTAACATTGTCTACGCCTGTCTACCACGGTCAAGCACTGTATAACTATGTTTAACACTGTCTGCGTCTGTCTAATACTGTCTGCGTGTGTTTAGCACTGTCTACGGCTGTCTAACACTGTCAATGACTGCCTAATATTGTCAAACATTGTCTACGTCTGTCTATCAATATCTACATCTGTCTAAAACTATCTTATACAGTCAAAGTCTGTCTAAAAGTGTCTACGTCTGTCTTACACTTTCTTTGTCCAACACTGTATCCGTCTGTGTAACACTGTTAAAGGCTGTCTAACACTATTTACGACTGTTGAACACTGTCTACGTCTCTCTAACGCTGTCTACTTCTGTCTAACACTGTCTACGTCAGTCTAGCTCTGTCAAACATTGTTTACGTCTGTCTAACAATGTCTACGTCTGTCTAAAACTATCTAACACAGTCAACGTCTGTCTAACACTGTCTACGTATGTCTAAAAATGTCTACGTCCGTCTAACAATGTCTACGTCTGTTTCTACGTCTGTCTGAAACTGTCTACGTCTGTCCAATACTGTTTACGTCTGTCTAACACTATATACGACTGTCTTACACATTCTAACACTGTCTATGCCTGTCTAACACTGTCTACGTCTTTCTAAACCTGTTTACGTCTGTCTAAGACTGTTTACGTATGTCTAACACTGTCTACGTCTGTGTAACACTGTCTTCGTCTTTATAACACTGCCTACATCTGTATAACACTGTCGTATTCTGTCTACGTCTGTCTAACACTGTTTACATCTGTCTAACACTTTATACGTATTTCTAACCCTGTCTACGTCTGTCTAACACTGTCAACACTGTCTTAGTATATCTAACATTGTCTAGGTATGTCTAATACTGTTTGCACCTGTCTAACACTGTTTACGACTGTTTAACACTGTCTACGTCTGTCTTACACTGTCTAGATCTAACACTGTTTAACACTGTCTACGTCATTCTACCACGGTCCAACATTGTCTACATCTAACACTGTATACGTCCGTCTAACACTGTCTACGCCTGTCTAGCACTGTCTACGTCTGTTTAAAACTGTTTACGTCTGTCTAACACTGTTTATGTCTGTCTAACATTGTCTACGACCTTTCAATACTCTCTACGTCTGTCTACTGTCTGCGTCTGTCTGATGATAGCAGCTAGGAACTATGCTACATTTGTCAGCTATACTGACAACCATCATATTTATACTCCCACAAGGATATTTAGTCTTTAACAACATTTTAATTGAATCTACGATATAATATATAAGTGTATAAACTTTTTAACTTCTAGATTAAAAAGCTAAGGATGCAATCAAATGTTTTTCCTAAAATTTTATGTGTCATTTAAATAGATCAACATAAAGTAAAATTAAATGATAAATTTATTTATATTATAATTCATATATTTATTGGGGGTGGGGGTGGGGGGATAAAATGATGACATAATGACTTTCGGGGGGGAGGGGGTGGAGTATTCATTGAAATTTGTACAGTTGTTGTCCAGGGGCGGAAAAGGGGTCAAAGTTGCGTAAAAATTGTCGAAGTAATTAATGGACGCCCCCTTTATGCCTTTACAATACAATAAAATATAACGTCTGTAGTCTGTATACTATTTTAAATTAACCATGTTAAATATTTGTCTAAAATACTTAATATTTTACCAAAAGAATATGATTTTTTATTACATTGGTGTACCGGTATATAAGTGTATACATTTAAATTGATTTTTTTTTTTTTTAAATCAAGTAAGATATACGATAAAAATAGCGGAAATAATTTAGAATTCACTAGATAACTCTAGATGTCTAAATTTAGATAAGGGATTTCCTGTGACTTGCAGGTTTATTTTTGGAAGAAAAAAAACTTACGCCATGTCCTTAAATGTTCACAAAACAAAAACAATCAATGCATCCATATTTAATTATATATTTAAACATTTAAATGTTAACCAATATTATTAAATAGTTTTATTTTTAATGCATAATGTATTTTTCTTTTTAAAAAATAAATGTTCTATTAATGTTTTAATTTAATAAAAATAAGTATGTCTTTCGTTTAGTTTTGTTCCGTTCATGTAGATTGAAGCTTTTTAATTTTTAAAGGATTTTTTAACATATAAAACTCACTTCCTATTTGTTTACATCATTATGATTCTATAATTTTGATCTGGTCGGAAAGAACTTCATCAGAACCAAATAAAAGCCAAGCATTAAGTTTACAACATTTACAGCTAATTTTCTCATAATGGAGTTGCCGGAATTAGGAAAACACTGCAATGAGCCTTCTTGCAAACAACTCGGTAAGTAAGAGTAGAAAGACAATAAATGATTTAAATTTCATTCATTGATTATAATTTATATATTAAATGCAAAGAGTCAGTTCAATAAGTTCAATAAGTATAATAATTAATAATATTAGGCACTTGATAGAGCAAATGGGAATACTTCAAACTTTGGGAAATAGGGTAGACACAGAAGTATCAGAGGTTTTATTTTTCGAGGCTTTTTTCATAATAAAAGGTTTAGGCTTGTGGTAAATGTTTAAATGGTGAGTGTGGATGCCACTATTTACTCAATGGCCGCCATCTTGGTTGACATGACTTAAAATTAATAGCATTTTGGAAAATCTATCCCTGTGCCTAACCTGAACCCTAAATCGATCCTTATGCCTAACCGGAACCATAAATCGATGCCTAAAAATTAACAAAGAAAAGTGACTCCCACACTTAAACACCAAAAAAGACGGCGTGGCATCCATAACTACCAATAGCCGATTATAGTATAGAAGAATACTTTATCGAGATATTCGTCCGGCGACCAAGTCACATGACCGCTGTAACAAAGTTATGTGAAATATTTGTCCGTCAGCCTTGTCACGTGACCACAAATGATTAAAAACTATTGTTAATTTTAAAATCTATTTCTCTACCAAGTAATTTACTGATTATCTTTCAAACAAATAAACAAAACGCCTACCAGTCGTCCGGCGGTCATGTGACATGCCCAATGGATGTTATCTCCCGTGTAGACACTTAGTAGTGTCTATTTTGTCTCAAAATTGTGGTATCCATCTTAGATACAATTTCATCTAACAATAACATGCAGAAGCAGCTATTATTCCTAGGGGTCAACTCGCCTCACCCATTCAAATAGTTTTTTGTAATATTTAAATATTACAACTTGTTTAATTCACCCTTCATTTATTTTTCAAGTCACAAGTGATATGAAAATCAAGGATTTCAGATTATTACTTACAAAAGATTGAAACATTAACTTTTATATTAAGAAATGAAATTTAAAAAATTCTTTATAGTCTGGTTAAAGTCATTGTTCTGTTTTCTACAGATTTTCTTCCAATGAAATGTGATGCCTGTTCCCAGATATTTTGGTATGTCAATTGTTTAGATGTAGAAGATTTGAATTGCTATTATTTTTTTATCAGTTAATTTTGAAACTTAAGAATAAATTAATTGATTGATTAAATGTGTCCAGAAAAAAACACCAAGAAAGTTCACAAATGTTTTGAAAATTTATTGAAATTGGTGGTGGTTGTGAGGGGTGGGGGGTGGTTATGCAATGAGAAAGGTTTATTTGCTTCTAATTAAACATCATCCAATTATTGCAGTCGTGATCATATAGTGTATGCCAATCACAGATGTCCTGACTCATACAAAAAGGTATGTGCGAATTATTCGAAATGTTCAATCCTTGTAAGAATTTTTAACCGCCCTAAAAATAATGATTAAACCTGAATTAATTTTCTTCTATATGTGTATTCACCTTGTATTTAAATTTTATGTACCATAATGTTTTCTTTACTCTAGCAAAAATAATTATTGATTATACGTTTTTCCTGATCTCAGGATAATCAGATTCCTGTTTGTCCACTATGCAACCTTCCTTGTCCTGTAAAGAAAGGAGAGCTTCCTGATATTGTGGTTGGGCGCCACATTGAATCTGATTGTCAGTCAGATCCAGCTAAGGAAAGAAGAAAGGTAAGCAAACCCTGTTTTTATTTCACATCAGGTCAGAGGGTCAAACTGTAACCTTTTTATTTTCAATAGATTGTCAGTTATAATTTTTATAAAATCTTATATGATGGTTTAAAAGATATATTGTATTCTTTAGGTTTACACCAACAAATGCTCAAAGAAAGGCTGCAAGAAAAAAGAGGTAGGAAATAATATTTACTTTTTAAACATTTGGTTAATTATTTTGAAGTATATTTGGTTAAAACGGGGCAGAAATTTCAATTTCCTCTCATGAACTTAAAAAAAAATTTTGCAGAAGACATTGGGATGCCCTAGATCTAAATAAATTTGAAGGAAAAAAAATGTCCAAAAAGGCCCCCACCCCCCCAAAAAAAAAAAAAAACAACAACAAAAAAACCTCTAAAAAATGGGACTTGTTCATTTAGAGAGTTAATGTGTTATATGCTATTGTGAATTCAGTTGTAGGGACATGTATCCATGGAAGTTCATCTCTTGCAGCCAGGCATAAATGATTTTTTTAAAAAGTGCTATGAGTCACATTATGTTCTGCTTCCAGGTCCTCATCATTTAAGTTCTAGTTTTCCTCTGCAGTAAATGAGATTATTTTCTCCTTTCTTTTATTTTCACCCACCTCATTTCCGAGAAGAGTAACTTTGTGGAGATAATAAATGAAGGACTGCGTTCAAGCTGTGTGAATGAAATAGTAGAACTGGGTATATAGAAGCTTGCATCAAAAGCAACCACTCTCCTACTAATGTTTCTCAGTTTCCCTGTATTTCTTATTTCTTATGATTAATGTATCTCTAAAAATTATGGTCTGTTAAGATTCTGGACATTATTTTTCACAGTACCAAGTACCAATATATATATTCTTTCACTTCCATTAATCTTGGTTTTGAAAAATTCTACTTCTGACACCAATACAGTAGATCTCTAAAGTTATTTTTACTGTGCTCTGTTTCTTGTCGCATTTTCTTTTGCCGTGTCTACTGAAGAAGGCTCTAAGTCGAAATGTTCACATCTTATTGTCCTGTCATTTGATTCAAGCTTCTACATACCTAGTTCTACTATTTCATTCAACTTTGTGGAGCTATGTGAATTAATTTTGTACAATTTAAAAATAAAACCTTTTTTTTTTTTACACTACATGTTTTCAGCTTGTACCTGTAAAATGTGAAACTTGTCACCTCAACTATTGTCTACGCCATAGACACGAACAGGACCACAACTGTCAAGGGTTTCAGAACACAGGAATGTCTGTTAGCAATCCTGGGTATGTATCTTAGTTATTTTTTGGGCTACACTACATAAATTATTCTTTTTCTTACAAAAATTTGCTTATCTGAAACATTTTTTCTAATTTTTTTTCCTTCTTCTTTTCTTTCAATCTTTTGATTTCAACTTTCTCTGCTTAAAATTGTGTCTGTGATGCTCATACATTAGGTTAACAAAATTAAAGTTATGTTTTTGCTTTAGAAATGTTTAAAGTTACATTTTAGAGGTTTGCTTCTCTCAAAGTTGCTTTAAATTATTTAATTATAAAAAATTAAAAAATATTTTGCAATATTTTTTTTTAATTTTCAGTTCTAGTGATGAGAAATTATATGTCTAAATTTTCTCTTTCATTACTCAGAAATTCTTCTCCCTTACACAGCGATTTATAAAAGGTTTAAGGTTTTGTCTTGACACTTGCTAGTGGCATTCTGCTAAATTTTTACAGAAATGGACTTGCTGATAGGCATTGTTCTGACTTTTCTAAAAATTTAAGATTCATATTAATCATATATTCCTTTTAGAGCTGCTGCCATACTCAGGTCACAACAATCTTCAAGGTCGCCACCTAAAAGTACAGCAGCCTCTAAACCTCAGGCAGGGAGCAGCAATAGGAATTTTAAGTATGTGCATAAATACTTTTTTTTAGTCGTCTCCCCCCCCCCCACCAAAGTGCCCCATAGACTCAAAGAGTTATTCCCATTTAATACTTTTCATCTTTTATTAATGTCTGTTAAGGTAAAATGCTAAATATGATTCATAAAAAGTCACTGAGCTCATTAACTTTCATTCATAAGAACCTAGATAGAGTAAATGTGCACTGGTTTAAGATGACAGTTCTGGTAAGGGCTTTGTTTTATTGGCACTAGTAGTTGTGGGATGATGTGAGTATAGGTTACCCACACACACATGGCAGGAAAAATACACAGAAACTAAGTTCTCATCAACTTTTATAATGAAAAGAATGGAGTTATCAAAACTTTTTAAACTAGATTTTTAAAATAAAAAAAAAAATTCCTTAATGTTAAATTCCACTGATCTTTATCTAAGTAGGTTTAGTTTGCATTTCACCTAAAAATATAGTTTTAGATAACAATTCCTTTATAACTATTCTTTGGTCTTTTTTTGCAGCAATCCAAGGGTTGGAAATCAGGCCAGTGTCTCTTCAGTTCAAGGTACCATGGTAAGTTAACTTTACATCTTTGAGTTCTCTATATTCTATAGAAAATTGAAAGGAGTTCTTAGCAGTCATTAATTATTTAGTAAAAATTATGTATAAAAATTTAAAAAAAAATGTATACTAAATTAATTATTAGTAAGGCTTGAGTCATATAGTCTCATCACCCAAAATGTCAATTGTTTTAGCATGATTAACAACATACACCCATAGCAATACATACCAGAGTTATTTGAAATGGTGATACAAGACTTTAATTTTGATCCATTGATTCAAATTAAACACCCTTTACGTTAATGGATTGGTAAGATCTAATCCACAAAACTAAACCATTTATGATAAAATAATCTCCCATCCCATTGCAGAGTGAGGACGAGGCGCTGGCTCGTGCAATACAAATGTCTATGAATGGAAGTGCCACAGGAAGCTCAACTTTAACCGATGGGTCAGTCAAATGAAACTTAAAATTAAATCTACTGACCCTTATATTCACTGTGTGTCTGTTATGAGGTTTTCCTATTAATTAAACCTTGGGTAGAACCTGTGACTATTTAGTTCATCAATGATAATAAACATGTTGCGAATCAGATAGTCACGAACAAGTGTTGAAAAATAATTTTGGAAAATAACCTGTACGTGTTTATTTCATTCTATGAAGATTATGGTTAGTCAAATTAAAAGTTATTTTGTTATTTATTTCTGTATCTAAATTCTGATGGTTTGAAATGTTAAATTAATTTTTTTTTTTTTTTTGCAAAATTTGTTTGCATGACATCATCACATGAACAGTTTGTCATACATTTTTCTGTTTTGTTGTTTTAGTATGACGGATCAGGAGAGGGAGGACTTTCTCCTGGCCCAGGCGCTGGCTGCCAGCGAGCAGGAGGCAGTGTCAAGGCAGCGCTCACAGCAAATTGTGAGGGCCTAGATGCATGTTTGTTGTACCATGAAATAATAGTTTCGTTGATTACTATGAGGAGGTGAGTTAGTGATGAGAGGAGGAGGCAAGCTGATCTTGAGAAATCCAAGGGTTTAGGTAGGGGAGGGGGGTAGGGCTGTGCAACAAAAGAGACAGCTTGAAAAAGGCTGTGATGAAACCAATTTATATAATAAACTCAACTTCAGTCCAAATTATCATTTCAGATCATATTCATTAAATTTGACGTTATTTATATTGCGTCTTGTGTTTCACAGAGACTTCAAAGAACAGAGACCAGAGGCATCGACCGCTGTCAGCTGCAGTGATAATTATCCTAAACATGTATTGGCATTCCTATCTCTTCACGTGGTTGTTTTCATTCGCTCGCTTGAGAATATTTTCCAGACCTGCTATTTTGAAATTTGATGTCCAGTGCAATCTTAGGCTAAGGACGAGCAGATGAATAAAAAAAAACTGTGATTAAGTGATGTCAGTTTTATGACTGTTCAGATATTTAATCCTATTTGGCATGTTCCTTATTTATCTAAAACGTTTGGTGCGCCTTAGAATATTTAAATTTTGGTTCTATTTTTTTTTAAAGATCAGAGACTGTAGGGCTGGCATCTTGGAGTCTTTAATTTTTGTTTTACCAAACTGTGAGTTAGTCATCCATTTGTGTAGTAGATAGTCATGTATTTGTGTAGTAATGGTTCTTATTTCATAAATATTCAAGCCAGGTTTTTTTACTTTATTGTACATTTTGGCTTGAAAAAAAAAAAGTTGTATCTTGATTATCACGCAAGAAAGTAAGAATTTTTCCATAGAAATAAAACTAATGTTTATAAATTCTGGCATATAGGCCTCACATTCCTTGATCTAAAACCTTGACCTGAGCTCTCAGCCCTTGACAGTCTGATGATTGCAAACAGTTTTGTATTTCACTGTTAAATTATGAAATTTTGACTTTAATTAATGTTTACCATGTAAGACTCTTGATTTTGGTGTATTTATTTATCTTCTCATTTATGATTGAAATGGTTAACAAAATAAATAATGCGGCTGTGGGTTCATTTTGGAATATTTTTACTTCTTCTAGTTAAATTTTAAAAGCTACAGTAATTGATGGCTGTCCATTGTATTAAAATCATCCAGATTAAGATACATTTTTGGGTTTAAGTCACCAAATGAGTTACTACATGATCTTATGAAACATATTTTTGTTGTTTTTTTTTTCCTTGTTGAAAGTTTAAGGATTACTTCAGAATCGTTCTGTGTTTTTTAACAAATAAAAATGTCTTGCTGAATTTAAGTTAACATTCATTTGGGTGAATAAATTCAAACATTGTCATGTAGGTTTATAGATTCTTCCAACCCATTATTTCTGTATATGTATCTCATGGAAATGCCCACTTAGTCCTGAAAAGGAATTATGGTGACTCTGATGATTTGTTAGGAGAAAAAATTCATTACCACCAGAATTTTCTGCCTATCATTAAGCTTTCAAGACAAGAACTTTATATTGACTTTATTTTTTTTTTTCTTCCCTTTCCCCTCATTATCTTTAAATCAAACCGAATCCACCCTTCCATTCAGCTCACCTTCGTTTAATGAAGCATGATATCGGCTAATATTGCCAACACGCTGTGACCTTGCCAGCAGGTATGCGCTGTGACTTTATATGTGACTTAACTTTTGGTTGTAATATTTCGGCAGCTGATGATGTATGAGTATGATACATTTTTTTAAAATGGATTGTTTCATTTCAAAGTTGAAAGCCGCTGTTTTTAAAAAAAAATGGTATCTTTTTATGTTGGTCTGATGGTTTATCTGGCCACTAGTTAAGAGTTGTTGGGTTCTAGATTTGGCACTGCTAATTGCATCAGAGAGTTTTGATGTTAGCCCTTTGACATACATTCTTTTTTACTTGAGGCATGTATCAGTTCTGTAACGCAGCTAGTAGCCCTCTTAGATAGTCTGAGCTTGGCTTTAAACTGTCAGATTGTGTCAGAAATGAACAAATCTGCATCTGCTAAGTATGTGTGGTTCTTTAAAGTGGCTTAAGAAAAAGAAAACTGTGCAATGCATTATCTGGATGTTGGTGAAGAAATGAACTATTTTAATGTTTGAACTACAGGGTTTGCTGAACATTTTTAATTTCCCTCGGCAAGTTTCAACATGGTACTTTGTATATGATATATTTTTAATTTTTAAGAAATGTTTCAAGGATGAAGGATAAAATCCAGTTATGCCATCGTCTTCCTCAACTTAATACTGATGATATCCAATCAAGTCGATATTTCTGCATTCACAATCATCACATCACAGTTACCTGGGCGTCATTTGATAACAGGACAGTTAACTTTTCTAGGGTGTAGTATTTAAGTCGTGAGAAAGAATCCTTCGTGTAATGCTCCATATTTAAAGTAACTGAAAAATGTTGGTTTATCATTAAAACTTACAAGGAAACTGGGGATCTGTACAACATTTTTATTTGTCAACATTCTCTGATTTTTGTTTTGTTTGTAGTTCTTTTGTAGTTGACATAGTTTGTTCATCAAGATGGCTATGCCTAAATTGTATCTAAAGGTCTAGGTGCTCACTCTAAGGATGTGTAGATTTGTACAGCAGTTTTGTAAATAGTTGGGGTGTATGTTGAGATGATGTGAGGTTGTGTTCAAACACATGTATAGATGTTATCTGGTTCCTGTTCAAGTGCATGTATATAGATGATATGTGGTGGCTGTTCAAACACATGTATAGATGATATCTGGTGGCTGTTCAAACACATGTATAGATGATATGTGGTGGCTGTTCAAACACATGTATAGATGATATCTGGTGGCTGTTCAAACACATGTATAGATGATATGTGGTGGCTGTTCAAACACATGTTTAGATGATATGTGGTGGCTGTTCAAGCACATGTATAGATAATATGTGGTGGCTGTTCAAGTCCATGCATAGATGATATGTGGTGGCTGTTCTAACATATGCATAGATGAAATGTTGTGGCTGTTCAAACACATGTATACATGATATGTGGTGGGTGTTCAAGCACATGATTATATATGCTGTGGCCATTCAAGCGTTTTATGAAATTTGAAGTTGCTTGCTCTAATCCTGGGTAGGCCTATACCTGCCCTGTATGAAATGTGTCGTTGCTGTTTGCGCTATGATGAGTGGGTATACACATGACTTGTGTGAGAGTTGTAGATGCAGTTGGTAAAAGTCTAGCATTGAGCATCCCCTGTGATAGTCATGGCCATTTGATGACACAAAGAGTGCATAATAATTGTAATATCATTAGTGTGATTATTTTATATGAATTTTATTTTATGAATTTATTAGAGACTAATTTCCTTCAGGTTGTTCAAATCAATGCAGGTTAATGGTATCAGATCAAGGGTTCTGAGCTATTTTATGTATTTTGAAGCCCAGCATTAAATTATGGTTTAGCCTAGACCCCTGTATTTGTTTCTTTTTTTTTATCCAATGCTTTGCTTTTACTGCTCAATGTTTTTTAAGTTAAAAAATATTTTGTTTAAATATGCTGTGCTCATGTTTATTATGTACATTGAACTAAGGGGGATAACTGGAATAGACTAAATGGTAGTTGGGGAAATTTAGATTTATTTAAGGGTCCTGATAAACTTGGTCTCTGCTCCCGCTTTCCACCACCTACCCTCCTACACACACAAAGCACAAACCTGCCCGTCAGCAACGCCACTGACCGGAAGGGACATATTATCACCGTGCCTTCTTTGAGATGGCAGTACTTTGAAACAAATGAACAGTCCCCCATCTCTTTTATTGTTATTAATATTGATGTAAAAAAAGCTCCATTTAACTACAATATATTTGGATTCTCAATGTAATAAATGTCTTTTACCTCACTGATGTTAGATTGACTCTTTTCTTTCATTGATGTTTGTTTGTGATTAGTAGTAGGTTGATGTGTTAACTCCATCTGTGATCAGTGTTTCTTTCAGAAATTCCCCCCCCCCCGGGGGGGGGGGGGACTGCGTGTTTTTCGGGGGAGGGGGGGGGGGGGGGGGGCCTTGGCCCACTGCCCCCCCCCCCCCCCGAGATATAGCTGAAAGAAACCCTGTCTGTGATGATGTCTGTTTGTGTCGTGATTAGAAATAAGTTGTGTTAACTCCGTCACTTGGGTAATGTACAGCTATACATACAGTTCAATCTCTCCAATTACGTGCATACCAATGTAAGAATTGTTCATGGTTGATTTCGTTAAATTAGACACGTTTGTTCAACCGTGTGACCTACATGTTTTTATTTAATGCCATCTCAAGATTTTTTTCTTTAAATTGCCGAATCAAGTACTCAGACAAAAAAAAAAGGTGTTGGGGAAGAGGGGAGGGGGGGGGGGCGCTAAAAGAAAAAAAAAGGAACTCATTTAAAAAAGGCCAAAAAAATAATTAAAAAAAAACNTCATGGTTGATTTCGTTAAATTAGACACGTTTGTTCAACCGTGTGACCTACATGTTTTTATTTAATGCCATCTCAAGATTTTTTTCTTTAAATTGCCGAATCAAGTACTCAGACAAAAAAAAAAGGTGTTGGGGAAGAGGGGAGGGGGGGGGGCGCTCAATGAAAAGTAAAGGAACTCATTTCATAAAGGCCAAATAAGTAATTTAACAAAAACGTGTACAGCTTCCATCATAGATGGTAAACCGTAAACCAAGTCAGGTGAAATAAACGTAGTCAGAGATAAAATAAATGTAGTCAGAGATGAAATAAACGTAGTCAGAGATAAAATAAACGTAGTCAGAGATAAAATAAACGTAGTCAGAGATGAAATAAACGTAGTCAGAGATGAAATAAACGTAGTCAGAGATGAAATAAACGTAATCAGAGATGAAATAAACGTAGTCAGAGATGAAATAAACGTAATCAGAGATAAAATAAACGTAGTCAGAGATGAAATAAACGTAGTCAGAGATGAAATAAACGTAGTCAGAGATAAAATAAACGTAGTCAGAGATGAAACAAACGTAGTCAGAGATGAAATAAACGTAGTCAGAGATGAAATAAACGTAGTCAGAGATGAAATAAACGTAGTCAGAGATGAAATAAACGTAATCAGAGATAAAATAAACGTAGTCAGAGATGAAATAAACGTAGTCAGAGATGAAATAAACGTAATCAGAGATAAAATAAACGTAGTCAGAGATGAAATAAACGTAGTCAGAGATGAAATAAACGTAATCAGAGATAAAATAAACGTAGTCAGAGATGAAATAAACGTAGTCAGAGATGAAATAAACGTAATCAGAGATAAAATAAACGTAGTCAGAGATGAAATAAACGTATCCAGAGATAAAATGAAAGTAGTCAGAGATGAAATAAACGTAGTCAGATATCAAATAAACGTACTAAAATGAATAAACGTAGTCAGAGATGAAATGAACTTATTCGGAGAAGTTTTCAGAGATGATATGAACGTATTATTCGCAGAAGCGAGGTCATATCCTAGATTGGCTAGTTGTCAGAGAGGACCGGGCAGCTATGATCCAAAACCTCATTATTGAGGACAAACTTATTTCTGATCACTTCCCAGTCGCCTTCGACTTTGACTTGAGGAAGCCAGAACGCCTTCTGCGATTAGTAACATCCCGAAACCTCCGACAGATAGATCTAGCGGCCTTTAGAAGTGACGTCGCAGCCCTTGAGTGCGGTTTAGATGACCCTGCTAAAGACTACAACAGTCGCCTCAGAGTCATTTTAGACAAACATGCACCACTGTCCACACGGCGAGTTACGGACCGCCCTTCCGCCCCTTGGCTCACGCCCGAAATTAAGGAAGCGAAGCAGAAGCAGCGACGTGCAGAACGCCAATGGCGGAAGTCGGGCTTGACTGTGCACCGACAAATCTTTGTTGACCACAGGGAAGGAACCAAGAGGTTGGTCCTTGCAGCTAGGACTGAGTATGTTAGTCATCAGATTACAGGCAGCGGCTCAAGCAAGGA